AAAAAAAAAAAGCAAGAATTTAGACAAAGCACATAACGTATGTTCACTGAGTCTAATTATGGTAAGTGATTCATCTGTACTAGTGGGTTTCATCCACTCATTTACTATATGAACACACTCATCATACTTGCAAATATAAATGTTTAAACATCTATCAACAGATACTCAAAATTATTCGATATTTAAAATCTAATTACACATGTTCTACAAGGAGGAAACATACTGTATTGCTCAAGCTACAACTCAATAAACTTTGACAGCGATAAGATTTTAATTCTTGAAAAATAAAAGCAACATTTTCTCTACAGTTTGTAAAAAGTAAAAGTATGGGGGAACTGGGGAGATGATTCAGCAGTTAAGAGGATTGGCTGCTCTTGTAGAGGACCAGGGTTTGGTTCCCAGCACCCACATGGCAGCTAACATCCATCTGTAACTCCAGTTCTAGGGTAATCCAATGCCCTCTTATGACTTCCATGGGCATTGCACAACATGGGTGCACTTATACACATGCAGGCAATACACTCATACACATAAATAAAATATTTTTTAAAAGTAAAAGTATGGTATAAAATACTGCATTTGACAAAAACCATTCCAGAAATTCAGTGACGATTGTGTTCACTATTCCCATAAGAGCTTTTGATAACTGAATCCAAATGCTGTCTATATTGCCTGACAAAAGCCCCCAAAGTTCCTATTTGAGACAGGAGAACTCTATGTAGCCCAGGCTGGCCTCAAACTCAAAATCCTCTTGCCCCAGCCTCTCAAAAGTTGAGATTACAGATGTGTACCACTGTACTCAGCTATTCAAGGCTCTTGCTGTAATGGCTTTCAGAGTTGTACAAGTGTTTTGTTTCCAATCTATCCTTCTTGCTACCACCAGTTTTGGTTTGGTGCTTTTGGTTATTTTGACACAGGGTCCAATGTAGTCCAAGCTGGCCTCAAACTATGCAGCTAAGGATGACTTTGAACTCTTGATTCTTCTGTCTCAGACTCCCCAGTGCTGGGATCACAGGTGTGGGCAACTAGACTTGGCTCCCATAGGTTATTTTTATAATCACAACCCCAGTCAAAGAACTTTTTAAAAATATATATATATATTAAGAAATTTATTATTTTTATTTATGTGTATGCGTGTATTGTCTGCATGTAAGTGCGCCCATGTCGTGCAATGCCTGTGGAGGTCAGAAGAGGCTGTTGGATCCCCTGGGACTGGAGTTACGGACAGTTGTTAGCTGCCATGTGGGTGCTGGGATTCAAACCCAGGTCTTCTGCAAGAACAACCAGTGCTCTTAACTGCTGAGCCATCTCTCCAGCCCCTAAAAAATTAATTTTATTTTATGTGTATGAGTATATTGCCTGCATATGTGTAAGTGCACTTGTGTTGTGCAATGCCCATGGAAGTCAGAAGAGGGTGTTGGATCCCCTGGAACCAGAGTTATGGAAGGTTGTTAGCCTCCACATGGGTGCTGGGAATCAAACCTGGGTCCCCTCTAAGAGTGGTCTGTGTTAACCACTGAGCCATCACTCCAGCCCCTCAAAGAACTTTTAAGCTTAAATTTTTACTGGTGTTCCATTGTTTAGTATATGAAGTTTAAGATGTAGTCCTGACTGGGTTCCAATCTTATTTTCTCACTCTCTTCCATCCTTTTCCCTTCACCAAGTTTAGTCACAGTAAATAACAGTTTCCTGAATATGACAAGCTCTTTTAGACACTGAGCTGTGTCTAAATAGGTTTCTCTGTCTAAAGAGCTCCTCTTCTTTTTTGGTCTTTTTGAGACAGGGTCTCCCTGTAGCCTCAGCTGGCCTGGAACTAGCTATAGGTTGGCCTCAAACTCACAGAGAACTACCTACCTCTGCCTCTCAAGTGCTGGGACTAAAGGCAGGTAACACCACACCCTGCTAAACAGCTCCTTTTTTCTATCTGCCTGGTTAATTCCTGGTCTTGGGAAGAATGTATTCCAATGTATCACCATAGGAAGTTTTTAGTAAACAGCGTAACTGAAAGCTAGTGTAGAATGGAACACAGGAACATCCCTGGGAAGGAAATATTTGGGTATTTCCTACAGGGTCTGACACACACCAGACCTTTAAAAAAAAATGAAATAAAGTTAACAACCCTCTTGACTCTTCCTTCTAGGTAGAGAAGAATCTCAGTTGTTTGACCCAGAGGGTAGTAACTAACCCATGCCTGAAATCACAGCACTCAGGTGTCTGAGTTAGGAGGTTCCTGAGTTCGAGGTCTGCCTGGGCTATAAGACCACCTTATTTTACTATTATTATTGTTATTTTGTTGTTGTTGTTTGTTTTTGAGACCCGGGGGTTCCCTGCTGGTTATCTCCAGCCGGTCTGGAACTCCCTATGTAGAGCAGGCTAGCCTCGATCTCACAGAGATCCGCCTGCGTCTGCCTCTCCAGTGCTGGAACCAAAGGCATGTACCAGCAAACCCAGCACGAAAACAAAGCAAAAAATTCACTTGCTTATAATGTCACATTGCAGAGTATCTCACATAAAGTGGAAACTATCTAAAACTAGTTTATTTGGCAGTAGGTCCATTTCTGATACCTATTTTGTGTTTGGGGGGGAATTGCATTTTTTAAATAACACAAATATGCATTAAGAAAAAACTTTAAAACCTGCGAGACTGTAAAATTTGGGTGAACCTCGAAAGAAACCTCGCTCCCCATGTACTCAATATACTAAAAAAAAAAAAGGGGGGGTGCTGGAACTAATTCAGTCTCGGGGATTTAGTGATTCAAGTCCACGGCTTGACTTCGGCACATCTGGGCGACCCGGACCCCAAGGGCTGAACCCGGGCCTTCAGCTTCCTCAAAGGGCACCCGTGTTGGCGTGAGAACGCCGCGAGTTCGCCCTGAGCCTCAGCCACTTCCGGTCTTTTCCCAGTGGTCAGAACACCCGGAACCGCAGAGAAGGCGGCCTGGGGACTAGGGGAGACTGCAAGCCCCGCTCACCTCGCGCCCTCCGCTCGCTCCATGGACGTAGCAATCCACTCGCTTCAGGCGCCCCGGGAGAGATCGCGCCGCAGTCACAGGGAGACTCCGTCTCCCGGCTGCCCATTGGCTGTTTTTGACACATAGCCCCACCCATTCCGAGCGGGGTGGAGAAGGCGTGCCAAGACCTTCTTGTCGGTGATTGGTTAAATCAAAGGTCGATCCTGTGACGTAAGAACGGTCTGACCAATGAGAGCCCACGCCCTCCCCCGCCCCCTCCCGGACGCCAGCAGCAGGGTCAGAAAGACGGTGGCTGCGGTCTGAGGTGGCTCTGGGCAGTCTCTGACCGTGTCCCCCGTCTGCTAACTTCTCGCCTCTGGTCCCCGCCATGCCGATGTACAAGGTAAAGCCCTATCATGGAGGCAGCACACCTCTGCATGTAGAGCTTCCAGCCTGCATGTACCGGCTCCCCAACGTGCACAGCAAGACCGCCAGCGCCGCTTCCGACGCGGGCCACGTGCAGGTAGGCGTGCGCAGCCCCCGCCCAGTGCGCAGGCGCTAGCCTCGCCCTGTCTTGTCTCTGTTCTGTCCAGTGCGCAGGCTCTGTGGCTCCCTTGGATCTGATGCTTCTGGCTGGGTCTGGTGCATGACAACTTGGTTGGGTTTTCTGTGGGTTTTCGTTCCCGCCGCAAGCCCCATCCTGGCGCTGTCCAGATAGAGTTAACCTTAACTTTTATCTTAATATTTATCCATCTTCTTTTTTATCACGTGGCAGTTTTAAACTTTATTAGGAAATTTTGCTCCACAGAAAAGTGAACAATACAAAAATGCTCATTCTGAGGAATTTATAAAGCGACCCTTAGAGTCACCATCGCCCTAGTTGATAGACATTTTTCAGTGTCCCATCCTTCCCACTTGCAACTTTTCTACTAGAGGTCTTGACTTTTATGGTAGTTATGTGTTGATTTCCGCTGTTAGATTTTAGTATGTATCCTTAAGTGATGTAATCAGTATATATAGGAAGCACACAGTATGTGTTCTGTTTGTGGGCATGATTTCCTGTCCTTTTATTGCAACAGTGAAATTGATGATCTTTCCTGTTCCATGCCTGACCACACCAGATTTATCTACCTCGTCCCCCACTCATGGGCACTGGGTTGTTTCTCATTTTATGCTGTTAAGACTAATCCTGTAGGTGAAATTTTAAGACAGCACCTAGCATAGGCTGTATAAAGGAATGGAATTTGGGGCTTACTGGGGAGGTCTGTTTTCCACTTTTAACTGGATAAATTGTTTTCCAAAGTGCTATTCCAGTTCATGCTGTCACTAGCAGGATAATTCCTGAACAGGGCTGCTGTACATACTAATCTAGGCAACCTAATATAGTTTTAATTTGGATTTCTCCAACTTCTAAGTAAGTTGAGTCTTTTTCATTTCCTGATTCTGCCTGTCTAGTGTGTGTGTGTGTGTGTGTGTGTGTGTGTGTGTGTGTGTGTGTGTGTTTTGTAACTTCATCTCATAACCCAGACTGGCCTCAAACTTTATGTAGCATTATAACCTTGAACTTCTCATCCTCCCACTTTTTCCTCCCAAGCTGGGATTAGAGGTGTGTGCCACCTCTTCTGGCCCAAATTATTTTACAATTAAAAAAATTTTTTTATTTATTATTTTATGTGTATACGTGTATTGCCTGCATGTATGGAAGTGCACCTGTGTCGTGCGATGCCCACGGAGGTCAGAAGAGGGCATCGGATCCCTTAGAACTGGAGTTACAGACAGTTGTTAGCTGCCATGTGGGTGCTGGGATCTGAACCTGGGTCTTCTGCAAGAACATTCAGTGTTCTTAACTGCTGAGCCATCTCTCCAGCCCCTATTTTACAGTTTTCAGTTAATTTTTCAGTACAATTGAACCCAAGGTCTTATAACATGCTACCTGCTAGACACTCTCAACACTGAGTTTTCTATATGTCCCCATCTCCTGCCCCCACCCCCCCCTTTTGTTTTTTTTATCTGGCCTGGAACTCACTATGTAGACCAGGCTGACCTCACAGAGATCCACTTGCCTCTGTCCCGAGTGCTGGGATTAGAGGCATGTGTCACTATCCTGGCCCTTTTGATCATCTCTCTGTTAAGGACCTATTCAAATCTTCTGCTCTTCCTGACTTCACACAGTCATACCTCAGATTTCCAGAAGAAGCGTTCTGGCCATTCTGACAGGAAATATGTAAATAGATACCTTTTGTGGTCAGTTTCTTATTGCTTGTTTCCTTCATTTTGTCTTAGTGGATTTTTTTGCCTTCATTGGAGGGGAAGGTAATTAATTCAAAACCCAGTGATAATTAAAATTCTATAATTACTGAGCTATATAAAAAAAAATAGCAGACATAGTTCGGTGATCCTGCAAGTAGAGACAACAAAGGCTTGGCCCAGGGCTCCTTTAGCTGTACAGTCCCAGGTTACCAAAAAGAATCCAGAGTAGGAATGTCACCTCTCATTCTGAGACCTGAGTTTTATTTTGTTGTGATGCTGGGGGCAGAATGCAGAACCTGGCATATGCTGAGCAAGTATTCTACGACTGAGCTATATCCCTAGTCTTATTTAGTTTTTGTAAATCTGCCTTTGGGCTTTGCTTTTTTGTGTAACTTCTCTGGAGATAGGTGAAATGCCTATTCACCTCAGATAGGACAGCAACAACATTCCACCAAAAGTGTAGCTTGGTGAGTCAGTGAGTTTAATTGGGGTTACTTGAAGGAGCATGGGTATTTCCAAGCAGTTAAGCTGCCAAAGTACTCCCTGTGATTATTAACTGCTTTTATATCCCAGGGGAGGGTGCTTCTGCTCAGCCTCATAAGCTTTCTCCCCCTTCCAGAAAGAATGTAAGCGAGCCTGATCTTGTGGGGATCAGCACAGCCATTCCAATTGCAAGTTGACAGCAGCCATGTCGTGCTCAGAGTTCCACAACATTTGTGAACTTCAGAAGCCCTGAACTTCTGATTTGTGAGGCACACAGTCCTGCTGCTGTAGCAATTTCTCCAGCAGATGATGGCAACATGGACAGATGATTAGAAATCATCTCCTGTGTGATCAAACCATGTAATATATTTTATGTGAGTTTATTAACTTACAAAGGAATGAGTACCCAGTACCTAGCCCTGCATGGCAGTGACTCAGAGCCCACCTTATCAGACTGTGCCACGCCCATAGCCCCGCTAGCATTCGTTCACACCTCCGGGGCCAGGTCTACAGGGAGTCAGTCCATTCTGTCTTTGAGTTGCTATGCTGGCCGCGAGTTTCCTACACCATCACTCTACCAGCGGCGCCTGGCTTCCCTTCCTAGTTGCTGCTCTATGTCAGGCCCCACCCATTGAAGGAACCAGCCAGTCAGGAGACACTCAGATAAGGACTCGGAGACCACAGGCCATGTGACACTTGCAGTTTCTGTCTCAGACTTGCTTCATTGTGGCTCAAGTTTATTTATTTGCATTTTTTATGTATGGATATTTTGCCTGCCTGTATGTAAGTGCTCCCATGTCATGCAGTGCCAGTGGAGGTCAGAAGAGGGTGTCAGAGTCCTTGGAATTGAGGTTACAGAGGGTTGTTAGCTGCCATGTAGGTGCTGGGAATTGAACCTGGGTCCTCTGCAAGAGCAGCCAGTGCTCTTAACTGCTGAGCTGTCTCTCCAACCCCAATGTACAATTTTTTTTTTTTTTTTTTTTTTTGGTCTTTTTGAGACAGAGTCTCCCTGTTGCCCCAGCTGGAACTCACTATGTAGGCAGGCTGGCCTTGAACTCAGAGATCCACTTGCTCTGCCTCCCAAGTCCTGGAAAGAAAGATGTGTGCCACTACATCTGGCAATTTCTTTTTCATTTTATTTTTTTAGGCAGGGTCTCACTGTGGATTCCAGACAGGCCTGAACTCACAGAGATCTGTCTGCTTTGCCTCCTAAGTGCTTGGGGTTAAAGGTGTGTACTACCACTCCAGCTTTGACTCAGTATTGAATCTAGTAGCTGCTGCTTTGGCCCTGGTGGGATAGGTACCCTTCTGCTAGTTCTAGAAATGAGGAAGACTGTACAAAAAGTCATAAGAGATTTAGAGTGCTTGTAATACCAATCTCAGGAGGCTAGGGAGGGGTTATATGTTTAAAGTCATTGTGGAGCTACATAGCAAGCCTCTGTCCCAAGAAATAGATATAAATAAAATGAAGCCAGGCTGGTTTGATGGCCAGCAGGTAAAGGAAATTGCTGCTAAGCCTGATGATCCACCCACATGGTTGAAGAAGAGGATATACTTCTAAGTTGTCCTTTAACCTCTGCACACTTACACACACACATGCATGCACACATGCATACACACTAAATGTATAAAATTAAAAAAAAATAAAGTCTGTAGTCCGAGACTCATCAGCAAGTATTATTGGCTACTTACTGCATGCCAAGCTCTGTGCTAGGCAGAAAGGATGTACAAATACAAAGGCTGAAGTGTGCACTTCTTCTTTCAGAAGTGAGTGCTCTAGAATGAGATATGAGGATGTCAGTGCTGCCTTAAAATGATCTGGGGACTGACCTGAGCTCCTTCTCCCCTTTGTATAAATTATTATTCTCATTACCCTTTCCCAGTTTTTCTCTACTCATTTAAAGCAAAGTCTTTGGGGTATCACAGGGTCTCATATAGTCTAGGCTGGCCCTTAAACTCCTGGTCCTCCTGTCTCTACCTCCCAGGTGCCAGGGTTACAGGTGTGTGCCATCACACACAGCTTAAGCAAAGTGTTTTAAATTAGTCTGTTACTAAAAATAGAGGAGGTCAGGCACAGTGAGGCAGAGGCAGGAAGATCAAATGAGCCCAGAAGTTCAAGGCTGTCCTAGAAAACATAGCAAAACCCCGTCCTTTTAAAAAAATATATTTTATTATTTTTATTTTATATGTACGAGTGTATTGCCTGCATGTATATGAGTTCACCCATGTCATGCAATGCCACAGAGGTCGGAAGAGGGCTTCGTATTCCCCTAGAACTGGAGTTAAGGATGGTTCGTAGCCACAGTGTGGGTGCTGGGAATTGAACCCAGGTCCTCTGCAAGAGCAGTTAGTGTTCTTAACTGCTGAGCCATCTCTCCAGCCCCCCCCCCTTTTTAATATAATGTGTATGAGTGGTTTTTGCCTGTGGAGGCCAGAAGGTGTCAAATTGCCAGGAACTGGAGTTAAGGACATTGTTAGCTGGCATGTAGGTGCTGGGAATCGAACCCGTGCTCTCTGTAAGAGCAGTCCATGCATTTAACTGCTGAGCTATTTCTCTAGCCCCTGCCTTTGGAAAAAAAAAAAAAGTTTCTTAAAGAATAAAGAGCCTTGCTGGGCGTGGGGCACATGTGTTTAGTCCCAGCAGTCAGGAGACAGAGGTGGGGGGATCTCTGTGAGATCAAGGCCAACCTGGTGTGCACATTGAGTTCCAAGCCATTTGGGGCTACACGGTGACCTTGTCTCAAAAAAACCAAAACCAAGCAAAAAATAATAAAGCTAGGCATGGTGGTGTATACCTGTAATCCCAACACTCAGGAAGTGGAAGCAGATCACAAGTTACAGACCAGTCCAGACTATATGATATCCTGTCCTTTTATTTTATATGTATGAATGTTTGCCTACATGTATGTAAGTGGACCTGTATGTACAATGCCTGCAGAGGCCAGGGGAGAGTATCAGATCCTCTGGAACTGGAGTTCAGGATGGTTATTAGCCACCCTGTGGGTGCTGGGAACCGAACCTGGATCTCTGTAAGAGCAGCCAGTGCTCTTAACCGCTGTGCCATCTCTCCAGCCCTTGATACCTGGTCCTAAAAGAGAAAAAAAGGAGTTGGGGGGGTGGGGATAGTATTTCATTTTCATCTCTCAGACTATTTTTTAAAGAATTTTTATTATTTCTGTGTGCCCAAGGAGGCCAGAAGAGGGCATTGGATCCCTTGGAGCTGGAGTGAGATGCAGTTGTGAGTCTGCCAATGTGGGTGTTAGGAACTGAACTCAACCCTCTGAAAGAACAACAAGTGCTCTTAACCACTGACCATCTCTCTAGGCCCGAATAGCGCTGTTTACGTGTGGAAGTCAGAGAACAACTTGGAAGAGTTGGTTCTGTCCTTCCACCATGTGAGTCTTCCACCATGTGAGTCTGGGTGATTGAATATTGGCAGGAAGCAGCTTTATACTAAGCCATCTCACCAGCTCATGGTTTAGAGGGTAGAGGTTTGGTGAGTACATGGGAGAAAGTAACACAAGTGATCACATTTATGCAGAGTTCTTTCAGTGTAAGAAGAAATGACTGGTCAGATGTTGGTTTTGGTATCTTTTTTTAGGAAACATCTGACCTGTCTTTGCAAGCCCTTGAATCCCGCCAAGATGATATATTACAGCGCTTGTATGAGTTGAAGGTGGCAGTGGATGGCCTTTCCAAGATGATTCACACTCCAGATGCAGACTTGGACCTAACCAACATCCTGCAAGCTGACGAGCCAGCAACATTAACCACCAATACATTGGATTTGAATTCTGTGCTTGGAAAGGTAGGTTCATTTTGAAAGCAGAGAGAGGTCTCTAGGTGGTGGTTAGTGCCAGAAAATTAAGCCAGCTGCTTGAATTTCTAACTTTCTGAGCCAGAGTAAAGACCTTGTTTATTTTTTTCTTCTCTAAATGATTGCATCTAGCATTGGTGTGGTTGCTTACTTAAGAGGCTGAGGTAGAAGGATCTTGAGTTCCAGGCTACAATGACAACCTGTTTTAATCAATTAATCAAAATAAATGAGTAAATAATTATACCCGGAGCACAGATCAGATGCGTAAGGCATCAGTGAAGCCAAAAGTAAGCCCTGGTCTTTTCGGATGGTGATGGGTAAACCGGAGGAGGGCAGAGAAGGGGGTCGGGAGTCATTTAACCTTGGAAGGAGAGCATCTCAGCTTGTTCTGGTAGCTCTCCCCTCAGTAGCGATGGCTGAGAAAACACCTTAACTTTACAGGCACAAAAATCCCACCACCCCTTCCAAAATACTCTGCTAAAAGCCAGCCCCTAAGAACTGCACTTACTGAGCTTAGTGACCTTGGATAACTTACTTGCCTCCCCAAGACTCAAGTCTTCTCAGTTGTCCAGTGGGATCACAATAGCATCTTTAAGTGGGAGTCAAGATTCAGTTAGAACCTGTTACTGCTTGGGGGTCACCTGATATGTTTGTGCATCCAGATGGCTCTGGTTGGCTAAAGTTTTTGTCTGTCCCTCAGGATTATGGGGCTCTGAAAGACATTGTGATCAATGCAAACCCATCCTCCCCACCGCTCTCCCTGCTTGTGCTGCACAGGCTACTCTGTGAACACTATAGGGTCCTGTCCACTGTACACACACATTCATCAGTCAAGAATGTGCCTGAGAACCTTCTCAAGTGCTTCGGTGAACAGGCTAGAAAACAGCCTCGCCATGAGTATCAGCTGGGCTTCACTTTGATTTGGAAGAACGGTAAGTAGAAGGGTTGGGCGGAACCTACTGTGTGATGGGCCAGGCTACAAAGAGATGGGACAGTTCGTGCCACAGACAGCTGTTTGCTTGTGAGTGTCATCCTCTCCACATCTAGCAAGCTTGTGGGGCTGGTCTAGAGAAAAAGAGAAATCTGGGCACAAGAATGCCCTCACTGCTTTGAGGAAGTTGGTGCTCTGTGAGACAGTTCCAGGGGTACTGAGCATTGGACAAAGGGGGTTCAGTGCAACCTGGCAGAACAGGGGAATTAGTGGCTGTACCCCCCGTCTGGACCTCGCATTTTAAAACTCATTCCAGGGACACTGACAGTATCTTTCTATATGGTCCCTAAAGGATGACAGGGGACATTCATTATCCTATTGACCAGTATCTCCTACCTGGGGAAGTTCATCCAGAAGGCAGAGAGTTGTCATCCATCCAGTGAACCTTTTGTTTTGAGCTAGTGTTGCACTGTGTAGCCCAAGCAGGCCTCAAACTCTTGATTCTTCTTGCCTCACCTTCCTAAGAGCTGGGTTTACAGACATCCACCACCACGTCTTGCCATCTAGTGATGCCTGAACAGCTCCATATAAGTAGAGAACGGCAGTCCTTGGCCTAGGCAGTGGGACATCAGGTTTCTAGTCTTCACCTCCAACTCTTATGGCAAGGTGTTGGAATAGATAGGCTCAGGTCCTATGTAGCTTGAAAACAGTCATAAACAGCAGAAAGGGCTACTTTCTTTTTGTTTTCCATTTATTTTTGTGTGTGTGTGGTTGCATGTGGGCATGCTTGTAGAGGTGGGAGGACAGCTTGAGTCTGTTTTCCCTTTGTATCATGTGGGCCCTGGGGATGGAACTCAGGCATTGGGCTTGGGGGCAGGTGCCTTTCTCTGCTGAGCCATCTCACCAGCCCTGGTTTACTTTTTTAATGAGTAGGTTGCATTTAAGACTCTTGAATATTAACCTTTAGGAGACATAAAAAGGTTGATAATCTTGAAAATAATTGTTGCCTCATCATCAGTTTGTGATTTAGTGACTTCCCCTTTCTATGCAGCTCAAGAGGGACTGCTGCTCTGACTCTGCATGGTGTTTTTTTCCCTTTCAGTGCCTAAGACACAGATGAAGTTCAGTGTGCAGACGATGTGCCCCATTGAAGGAGAAGGGAACATTGCACGTTTCTTATTTTCTCTGTTTGGCCAGAAGCACAGTGCTATCAACTTAACCCTCATTGATAGCTGGGTGGATATCGCCATGTTTCAGCTAAAAGAGGGGAGCAGTAAAGAAAGAGCAGCTGTTTTCCGATCTATGAACTCAGCTCTGGGGAAGAGCCCGTGGCTGGTCGGGAATGAGCTCACCTTGGCAGATGTGGTGCTGTGGTCTGTCCTGCAGCAGACTGGGGGCAGCAGTGTGGCTGCACCAGCCAATGTGCAGCAGTGGCTGAAGTCCTGTGAGAACCTGGCCCCTTTCAGCACCGCCCTTCAGCTCCTCAAGTGAATTCCACTAACTGGTCTTGAAGGGCTCCAATTTTAAAAGTTGTGCTGCTTTGTGCTGTTGTCAGGAAAGGGACTTGTACTAGAATCACAATCTTTTTATTAAGCCAGGTGTCAAGTGTCAATAAAAGCACCATATGATTTATGGATTTTGTTTTATTTGAAATTCAGTAAAATCATGTGTTGGCAGGCACTTCATGGGATTCAAAAATGGCATCTCAGATTGCTGCCTCTGAAGAACATTCAGATTGTTTGGGGAGTTGAGAACTGTAATAAAGGAAAAGGATCATGGGAACAGTGCCAGTGAAGGCAGAAACATGATCACTCTGCTGCTAAGACCACCTGAGGGCAAGGAGTTTGAAGCTGTCAAGGGGCAAGCTGTAGGATGACTGACGAAAGAGAAAATGGACTGGATGTGGTGCACTGTGCTGAGAAGCTGGACTCTGGCCTTTGGGCAGTTGCGGAGCCTGCAGAGGTTCTGGTCCAAGGAGTGATCAGATGTCCTGGTAACCTGCCTTGGTGGCAGTGTGAAAGGACAGAAAGATAGCTGTCAACAGCAGCACTGCTTGGGTATGGGCAGTGATGGGGGAGGAGAGTGCTGTGATTTCTGCAACAGAACTTTTTGGAGGACAAGATGGTCAACAAGAGCTTAAAGAGAATGACAGGATGATGCCTAAGTGTTTAGTTTTAGAGATGGGCAGTAATAGTTAAGTAGGAAATTTAGGAATAGAAGCTTATAGGAAAGGAAGCAAGGAATAAGCTTAATAAGAGCAGTTGAGTCATGTAAGGGTTACCTGAGGACATGGTAGCTGAGGGTAGCGCAGTCAGAGGACACCTTGCAGGAGCCTGTTCTGTTTTACCACATGAGTCCTGGGGGATCAAATACCTGTGCCTGGCTTTGGGGGCAGATGCCTTTACACAGGCTTGCTAAATACAGTCGGGAATCACACCACATACACTCAGCTAAAGAGAAAATTTACATTCCAGTTTATTATTCTAAGAGTATAAGTCCACTTTCATGACTGACATAGCCTAATCAGGCTACACAGGCAGACCCCCCCCTTCTCATCCCTTCACCCCTTTGTCCTGAGAAAGAAGGCTTAGTTGCTTCTTTAGTTCTTCAATTTCCTTTTCTTGCTCAATTATCTTCATCTGCAGTGCAAGATTAACCTAGAAAGGGAAATTTTTAAGCTGCATTAAAAGGCCACTTTAAAATACTCAGGCAGTCCTCACCATGCTCGATACCAGCTACCACAGTTTAAGCATCACCAGTCACCTCACTATAAGGTTTAAGTGCCAGTTGTTGCAATGTATTGACTGTAATCATGTGATGCTTCTCAGCTTGCAAGATGCTACATTAACAAAAGCACCTTAGAGCCCTTCAAAGCCTCAGTCCTTGCTACATCTGTTACCTCAAAATGCCATGCCTTGGAACTTTGCCACATAGTCAAGCACCAAGCTAGATGGCCCATGAACATCCAGGGGTGGGCCTGTATCCATCTTTCAAAACTTGGATTTTTTTTTTAAATCTAGAAATTACAGATTTAAAAAATATTTACTTATTTTTGTGTATGTACATGCATGCATGGGTATGGCACCCCATGAAGCATATGTGGAGGTCAGAGGACAACTTGTAGGAGTCATTCTCACCTTCCACTGTATGAGTTCTGAGAATCAAAATGTCATCAAGCTTGGCAGCAAGTGCCCTCACCCACTGAGCCATCTTGCCTGCCCTGGGGTTTGTGGGTTTTTTTTTTTCCTTTTTGAACTTGGATTCTGAGGATCTGAACTCATGTTCTCATGACTGCAAGACAAGCACTTTTGCCACTGAACCATCCCAGCCCCCCAGCTATCCTTCCGTCACTACAGGTGGTTCACAAACTAGCACCAATCAGAACCACTTCATGGGTCTGTTGAAGTAGATTTCTACCTCTTTTCCTTCTAGGATTTCTTTGTTAGGTTACAGGAAACGTAGAGGGTCTGACAAGTCTGCTTACCTGGAGACCACACACATACACTGCTGCTCAAACACTGTATATCACCTGGGAATCCTGCTTGAATTCTGACTCAGATTGTTAGGGTCCCAGGTAGTGCTGATGCAGCTGATCACTGGTCTGTGGACATACTTTGAGTAACAAAGTACTAGGCAACTAGGCGGGCATGTTCAACCTACAGCCTGCAGGCTACATGTGGAGGCATGCAGCTGTGGCTAACTATGAATCCTAACTTTATTAAAACATGATGTCTTTTTTTTTTCTTAAAAGGTTGGACATGCCTGCTAGAGAATTCATGAATATCTCTCTTTGAATCAACCTTTAAATAAACCTTAGGAGGTTTCTAGAGGAAGAGAAGGATGAATCACCTACCGTTTGCATCTGCAGAGGAAAGACTGTGCTTGGCACCATAGCCTTGTGGAAGGAATGAGGAAGGGAAGGGGCTATCCTGGGCAATGCCACATCACAGGACAGGCTGGAAGCTTGTACAGAGGCAGAGCAGCCTAGGCCACTGTTGTTCCATCTCCTGCTTAAGAGTCAGCACTCACATCCTTCTTACTACTAAGTTCATTACCATGACTAATAAATTCAGAACCTGATACATTCTTAGGGAACTCTGAGAATGGTTTTAAATATTTGTTTCCATAAACCTGATTCAATCAACTCTATGGAATAGGATTCATAACTGAAACAAATTTGATTTAAGCTTCATTATTTTCCCCCATCATAAAAAATGTGGAGCTGTCATGAAATGAGAATGTGGTTTGAAGATCTGTACTTTAAATTATTTTGAAGTCATGCTGTAGTAGAAAATAATCTGCCCCAATATAGGGCAGGGTTTACATATTACTTACATATTTATTATTATTGTGTAGATTGTGTGCATGTACTCACATGCCATGGAGCATGTAGGGAGGTTAGAGTGCAATTCTGTGGGATCGGTTCTCACCTTCCACCTTTACATGGGTTCCCAGGACCCAATTCAGGTGTTAGGCCTACAGAGCAACTGCCTTTACTCTGCTGAGCCATCTCACCAGCCCAGGGCAGGCTTCTATCAGGAAATTTCTAACATGTGCAGAACAACCTGGAAGCTAAGGGTAGATACAATTTCACAAGTCAGACAGCTAGGTTTCTAAATTATTTAATAAAATGTACTTAGTAGTAACAGCATCTGTCACTATTTATGTGACAAATTATCTCATAGGGCTGTGGAACAGACTGAACAGCAAAGCTTACTTAAAGCTCTTAAGAATCAAGCTGGGCTTGATAGCTCATATCTGTAATCACAGCACTCAGAAGAATGAGGCAGGAATTCAGGATCTGCTTGGATTACATAGTTCCAGGGCAGGTTCGGCTACAGAGTGAGGCTATGGGGTGGGTGAGGTGGCCCAGCTTGCTACTCAAGCTTGATGACCAGAGTTCAGTCCCTGGACCCCACATAAGGTGGAAGGAGAAACACCAAAGGTTGTCCCCTGACCTCCACATACAAACCATGACATGACATGACACACATACATACACTAATAAAAGAAAAAACAAAAAAAAAAAACAGAGTGAGGCACTGTCTCCAAATAAATAATAAAAGCGCTTTGAGACCATACCTAGTACACAGTAAATATCCAGTATTTTAAAAAAGATGTTACATACATTTCCAGGTGTTTGGAAAAGATCGCTCTGCAGCAGCTGAAGAGCAGACAGTCTCCGGGATGCATTCCTCTCAGTTAGGAGCTGGATATACTTGGCTTGCACCGGACACCTTTTACTGAGGGAGTCAGGTATCCGACCAGTCCTTACACTAGTTAAAACAGATGCCCGCTCCATTTCTGTTCGGAATGGCTGGAAGAGCTCCAGCAGGATCACACCCAAGCTATACATATCTGACTGGAAAAGGCAGAAAAGGGGCTTCAGAAATGCCTTGTGAAGCTAGGACATCACTCCTCAGTGGACAGCCTCTCCAGCACAGACGTCCACAACTGAGGTGTTACAGTCACCCCCAAAGAAGGGAACACAGCAAGATGGTTCATGCCTTAGAAGTAGGTGTCTGCCTCAGGGAAGGGGTGCCTGGGACTTTCATAACTCCATCTCTTTGATACCCAATGAGGACGTCCATGGGTTTGGAGGATAAATGGTCAGGTAAAAGGAAGGGATATCTCCTCCCAACACCCACAGCAGTCATTGTCCTACAAATATCTCCAACACCCTACAACAATCCAGGCCTAGCAGAGTGACCCAGGCAAAGTGACTGAACCCATAACGCCTAGTACCAGTGACAGGATTGTCACCAGGTCCTACTCAGGTCAGGCTCTGCCTCTAGTCATAATTATACATCAGTGTTGATAAACTGCATAAAGCCTGTGCTACTTTCCATAAAAGTAGTTTATGGGGAAGATGGGCTTTTAGGGCCAGCAATGGATTTTTCTTGCAACTCTTTTCCAATCATGAAAAACTAAATGGTTCAAACAGAATTTATTAGTAGCTGCCATCTTGAAAAAAAATGATTTACTTTAAATGGAAGTGATGGCTCATCCTTGTAATCCCAGCACTTGGAAGAGGCTGAGGCAAGAGGATCATGAGTTTGAAGCCATCCTGGACTCCACAGACCCTGTGTTAAAAAAAACTAAGAATAAGCTATGAGTGTGGCTCCATAGTAGAGCACTTGACTAAGCATTGGGTTCAAGGTCCTGGGTTCAGTCCCCAGCACCACAGAAAATAAAAGCCAGTAAAGTGATATAAGAAAATGTAGATATGTTAAAAATTAAAACTAAAGATTTACTTTAACATTTTCTTCAAGGAACAGTAGAGATTGAAGCTTTGCAGTGTCTTCACTCTCCTTCAAAAGGGCATCAGGTGGCAGACGTCCCTGTACCATGTGTTTACCTAAGCTTAAAGTCAACAGACTTTGGTGAAGTCTAGCTTCCCGAGGTCAATGGTGACATTTTAAAGGGAAGGTCACTATAATGTTTTGTGACACCCATGGATTTTAAAAGAGTAAAATAGCCTAAAGGGTAATGTGTACAAGTTGGCTGAAAGGGGAATCTTTTTTTTTTTAAAGTTATGCATATGTGTGTGTCTGTGTAGAGGTATGTGCACCTGAATGCAAGTGCCCATGAAAGCCAGAAGAGGGCATCAGGTCTCCTGGAGCTGAACATACAGGTGGTTGTGAGCCACCCAACATGGGTGCTGAAAACTAAACTCAGGTCCTCTATAACAGCAGCAAACGCTCTTAACCACTGGGCCATCTCTCCAGCCCTAGCAATCTTCCTATTGGGGCAGTTTGATCCAACAGATCAAACTCCCAAACATGCTCCCAAACAGAGCTGCACTTACTGTACTGTTTGTCCCTTATGATCCCACAAGTTGAGGAAAAGGATGAAAACAACAAATACTACCTTGGCATCATACTCAGATCCTTCCAACTGCTCAGGTGATGCATACAGACAGGTCCCCACTCTGGATGTGTGTGTTGGTGTTCCTACAATTTAAAAAGTCATTAAGGACACTCAATGTGAGCAGAGCATTATGGAGAGCCACAGTAACCTTTTGTCTTTACCTGAGCTTTGTTAGGAAAGTTGATTCTCTATACATAAGAACATGTTCAGGGCTGGAGAGATGGCTCAGTGGTTAAGAGCACTGGCAGCTCTTGCAGAGGACTCAGGTTCAATTCCCAGCACCCACATGGCAGCTAACCATCAGTAATTCCAGTTCTAGGGGAATCTGATACTCTCTTCTGACCTCTGTGGGCATTGCACACACGTGGTTCGCTTACATACATGTACGCAATACACTCATATACAGAAAATTAAAACAATAAATACAATATTAAAAAAAGACCACGCTAAACCATCTACACCCCTCCCCCACCCCACCCCAATGCAAAAATGAATGAATGAAATAAACCCTTCTTTACCCTTGCTACTTCTGTTGGTCCAATCTGCGTTCTGAATGATGTCTGTGCAGGCCAGACCAAAATCTCCTATTTTCACTTGCTGGTCAGGGCCATGAAGAAATATATTTCTAGGCTACAAATAAACAAAACAACTCAGTTTTAAAACAAGTAATAGAAACTTATGAGTGATAAGGATTGTCAACTCAGTGACAGGTATGGAGGTTCACATCTGTAATGCCAGTATTTGGGAGGCAGAGGCAGAAGAGCTGATAAAAACAAATATGAGGCCAGCTGGGTCTACACAGTGAGTTCTAGGCAAGCCATGGCTATACAGCAAAACCCTATATCCATTAAAAAAAAAAATCTGTTGCGCTAAGGAAAGGAGATGGCTCAGTGATTAATAGCACTTGCTGTGCAAACATGAGGACTTGAGTTCAGGTCCCCAACACTCACAAAAAAGTTGGGTGTAGCTATATGCAGGCCTAAATATTCTAGCACTGTGGAAAGGCAGAGACAAGAGAATCATTGGGACTTGTTGGCTGCTAGTTTCCTAGCTCCAGGTTTAGCAGGAGACTCTAAGAGAATAAGACATACAGTGTCAGAGCAGGACACCCCAAATCCTTTTCTGGCTTCCATATACCACACATACATCACATATACACTCAATACACCATATAAAGGAAGTCAGCAACTCAGAAGCAACTCAGTAGGTAAAAGCACCTACTGTTACAAGGTCCTGAGTTCAAATCCTCAGCACTCACACAAAAAGCAAGGTATGGCTGCATATGCCTATAACCCCAGCAGTGTAGAGACAGGTAGATCCTGGGAGCTTGCAGGCCACCCAGTCTAGCCTAAACACTGAGCTTCCAGTTAAGTGAGAAACCCTGTCTCAAGGTACTGAGGTAAAAGCAATAGAGAAAGACACCTGATGTCCTCCTCTGATCTCTGTATGCAAGAGCCCACATACTTAATGTGAACATACCACATATATCACACACCAACTAATTGACTTTTTAAAAATTTTGTTTTTATTTTCTCTGAGTGTTTTGCCTGCATGCATGTAAGTGTACCTTAAAATGACTGCAGCAGCCAGAAGAGGGTGTTGGACCCCCTGAAACCGAATTTACTGACAGTTATGTGGGTACTGGGAACTGAACCCAAGTCCTCTGCAAGAACAACCAATGCACTTACCTGCTGAGCCACCTCTCCAGCCCCTGAATTAACTTTTAATATTTAAAAGGGGTTGGGAATGTAGCTCAGTTGGTACAAGAGTGCTTGCCTAGCATACATGAAGCACGGCCACTGGGTTCAATGCCCAACACTACATAAATGAAGCATGGTAGCATATGCTTGTAATCTCAGAACTTGAGAAGTAGAGGCAGGAGGATCAAAAGTTCAAAGTCATCCTCAGCTACATACAGAGTCTGAGGCTAGCCTAGGCTAGAAACCATATAAAAAATAAAAATAAAACCTAATACTTTGATGCTGGATGTGGTAGCCCACGCCTTTAATCCCAGCATTTGGGAGGCAGAAGCTGGTGGATCAAGGCCAGCCTGATTCACATAGGGAGTGCAAGGCCAGCTGGGGCTACAGGGAGACTCTTGTCTCAAACAAAAAAAAAAGAAACAAAAATCTTATCTTAACACTTTGAGTAGTGGTTCTCAAATGTGGCTGTATGTTAGAATCATCAGAGGAGTTTAAGAGACTCAGTGTCACAACCATTGCCCAGACCAACTAAGGGAGAATCCCTGGAGGTGGATGCAAGCATAAGTATTGAAAGTCCCACAATTACTCCAGGGATTTGAGAACCGTTAATATATAACTGAACTTGCAGAGGTGCTTCTCAACTGCATCAGTATATGCCTGATGATATATACTGATCATCAGACAAGCCAAAGGCTTTGAGTTTTAAAAACCCATTATTTATTTGCATTGTTATGTGTATGAGTGTTTTGCCTGCATATGCCTGAAGTACCCACAGACCAGAAGAAGGTATCAGATGCCCTGAAACTGGAATTACAGATGGTCGTAAGCTGCCATGTGGGTGCTGGGAACCAAACCCCAGACATCTCCAAGAGCAGCCAGTGCTCTTAACCACTGAACCAGCCCTGGCTTTGATATTTCTTATGAAAAAATTTCATTTCTTCTGTGCTCAGTTTTGGGTCAGGGATTAAAACCAGGACCTTGCACATGCTAAGCACATGCTATACCACTGAGCTATACCTGTAAGCCAACTTTGACTTTATTTACTTAAGTTTCTTACTAGCATGTAGTATCATAGCTACCAACCAGTCCCCTTTCTATAATACTTTCACATCATTGGGGGCGGGGATCAATGAGTTTAATTAGGGTTACTTACAATGATTTTATTTGTGTACTTATTCATCTATTTAAGTTTGTATCTTGGTATTTTCGCTATGTAGCCTGGTTGGCTTCGCTGTGATCCTCCTGCATAATAAGCCTCCTGAGTAACTGGGACCACAGGGGTGCACTACCACTTTTGATGTTTTGCTTTTGTTTTTGAGACAGGGTCTTGCTGGCCTAGAACTCACTATGTAGACCACCAGAATGGCCTTGAACTCACAGAAATCCTCCTGCCTCTGCCTTTCCAGTGCTGGGATTAAAGGCATGTGCCATGACCATACCTAGTGTGGGAGCCTGTTAGCGACCCTGCGAAGATGGCGCGAGAGGAAGCGAGCAGGGCGAGGCTTGGCGTGTTTTAAAAACCTCCCGATTGGCTGAAGGGCACTTCCCCTGTCTCTGGGGATGTGTGATCAGCGCGTGATCATCGTTGATGCCTATGGGACCCTGCCCATGTGGCAGGGTGACCTTTAAGCTGATTGGGTGCGTTTGGGGGAGGGGGTTTCCGAGGGGATTTCCAGACTGCTGTTTTTGCCTATATAAGCTCTGTGACACCTGCAATAAACGAGTTCCTGCTTGACAAGACTCCCTGTCACCTCTGATTGTCCTCAGCGAGGAGAGCTGGCGAAACGGCGGACAGCACTCACCTTTCCCTGACCCCCGTCGCAGCGGGTCCCTCCAGGGCGGGATCCTGGGACCCCCCCCCCCACACACCTATCATCTTTGGTGTTTTCTAAAAGGTCACAGATGATACTTACATAGCAGCCAGAGTTGGAAAAAACCACATTACACTATGAAGGTACATTTTGGCTCTAATTAATCATTGCAGACCCAAAACATCTCCTAATCAATGTATTCATATGCCAGTAAAAATAATCTATGTAAATCAGTTATGTTGGCACATGCCTACAATCCTACCATTTAGGAGGCTGAAGCAGGAAGATTTCAAGTTCCAGGCCACCCTGGGCTATACAGTGATTTTGAGGCCAGTTTAGCACACAATGAGACCTTACCTCAAAAATGAAGCAGGGGCCTAGGATGTCACTCACCTGGTAGTGTTTGCCTAGTATGCAACAAAGCCCTGGGTTCCATCCCCAGCAATGCATAAAGTGGGCTATAATTTAGCACTAGGGAGGTGGAGGCAGGAAGGTTACAAGTTCAAAGTCATCCTTAGCAATATAGCAAGTTGTAGGCCAGCCTGGCTATGTGAGACCCTATCTCAAATATTAAAACAACATTGACACTACATATTACTGGGAGGAAAAAAATATTTTACTAAAATTTTTAAAAACATTAAAAGATTAAAAGTTATATTCTTTAAATATAACTGATTTTTTAAATATAACTGATTTTATGTTAATGTATAAACTACCCTGTTTAAATATAACTAATTTTTACATTAATGCATAAACTGCCCTGTTTTATTCTTATTTGGTTTTTAAATTTTGTGTGTGTATGTGTATGTGTGTCTCAAACGCACGCACACTTGAAGGTCAGAGGACAACTTGCAGGAGTCAGTTCTCTCATTCTACTGTATGGGTCCCAAGACTGAACTCAGACTGTCTAGACCCCCGTTAGATTTATTGAATAGAAAAGCTGAGAAACTGTGTGGGCACTTGGCCCTATACAACCAGGGCACAAAGCCTGAAAAGGGGCAGCTCCAATATAGAACTGCAACTGCATCCTGTTGGTGAATACAATTCTAGAACAGTTCTAGAACTGATCATCATAAAGAAAATGAAACTGACCAATTCCACAGCAGCATTTTTCCCTAACCTCCTAACCCTTCACTCTCAAGACTTCCTCATGGGAAACATAACCAAGAGGGGAAGCAGAGACCCGGTGGCTGACACTGCAAAGTCACTGGAGGATAGCCCAGACACTGTGCTGCACACTAAACTTTATGAGGCCATAATCAAGGAAGACTGCACCACAATCAAGGCACTCCTTAGAAACCACCCTGTCAACCAGCCCTTGACCATCCTGGCCAACTCTACCAGTTACAGACTACTTCTGAGTCAGGTATCACCGTCTCTCAGTCACTTAAACAGATAGAGCTGGGAACGGTTGGTACATGCCTGTAATCCCAGCACTCAGAAGGCTGAGGCAAGAGGACTGTTCTAAGTTCAAAGCCAGCCTGGGCTGCATAGTAAGTTCTAGACCTGCTGGAGCTACAGGGTGAGACCTTGTGTCAAGAAGAAAGAAAACAGGGAGTAACCACCCCCCAATGACCTAGGGAGTTCCTATGGCCCTCATGGTCCCCACAATGCACAGGGCTCGGTAGCCCAGCATCCAGCACCAGCATGTCCCAAATGTGGGGCAGTATACCCCAGTCTGCAGTGCCTCCTTCCACTCACCACACACAAAGGGATGGGAGAAACACTAAACTTGTTTGGCTGGAAGAACAGTAACCTCATCCTTTCAAAACATCCATAGTGATTTTATTGTATAGGTAAATTATTTTTCAATATGAACATACCTTTTCATTTCTAAATTTTTATATAATGATTATTGCTTTTGTTTTGTTTGAAACAGGGCCTCATTCTATAACCTGGGGTAGTTAAAATGCCCTATTTAGCCCAGGCTAATCTCAAACACACAGCAATTCATCCCTGCCTCAGGTTCCCAAGTACTGAGATTACAGGCATGAGCCACCAAGCCTGGCTGATTATTGCTTTTCTAATTAACTTTTCTCTCTATTCTTCTTCCCTTTTTTTTTTCTAACCAAAATTAAAGTTACCTCCTTTCTCCCACCTGCTCTTATCTTGCAGTCATGATGTAAAGCCAGTACTTACAGTCATATTTTAAGAACTAGTATAAATAGCTCTGCTAATCAGTCTGAATATGTGCTACATTATCCTTGAAAACTAGAAATGCAGGTTCACCTCTGATAATGAAATAAAGAAATAAATGAATAATGAATAAAGAAATAAAACATCTACTTGTCAATCAACCTGTGGGTTAATTGAAGGACTAAGTTATTTCATAGTAATTTACCACTGATTTTACACTAGGAGTTCTTTATAGGAATTAACTTCCAAAGTTTTGAGTGTTATTTCTTGGTTTGTTTTATTTTTGAGGCAAGATCTCACTATGTATCCCTGGCTGACCTGGAATTCCCTATGGAGATCTGCCTGCCTCTGCTGGAACTAAACGTGCGTGCCACTATACCCGGCTTAGGATTTTTTGGCTTTTGAGCTTTGAGTGGTACTTCATTGCTTGATAAATCTGTACTTCTACACAACTTGTTTTTTGTTTTGTTTTAGTTTTTTTTAGACAGAGTCTCCCTATAGCCCCAGCTGGCCTAGAACTCACTATGTAGACTAGCCTCAATCTCAAAGATCTATCTGCCTCTTCCTCCCATGTGCTGGGATTATTTAAGGCGTGTACCATAATGACTAGCTGTAAATCACAAGTTCTATAATTTAAAATTCTCTGGGCATGGGTCATTAAACAGGCAATAGAAAAGGAAGATCTCAATGCATAAAATGAAAGAATTCCAAACTAATGCAATGCTAATGTACTTACTTCCTTTAGAATGGCAAGCTATGCAAGTAGTCCTGTGTGAGCCATGTTTGTAACACTGTGTGGTTTCCCTGCAGCAAACACAGTCCATCTTCCCCATCCATCTGGCCACTGAGTACCACAAGCCACAAAGTTTGCTTTGTTTGTTAGAACATGGGGCTGACCCAGAAGTAAGGTAAGTTAACTCCAGGCTGCACACCTAAATGAGGATATGCATGATTGGGACATTACTTGTCCAGTTCTGGAGTACAGATTATGTTTTGGATGAAACTATGAGCTAGATGAGAGACTGAAAAATGAGAACTAATGCAAGAATATAAACTACTTGGCTAAATTAATGCATACGAAATAGTAAGTGTCCAGTTGTATAAAATGCATTATAAGTCTGGACCATAGCCATCAAGAAATCTGACAATACGAAAAATGAAAAAATTTTAAAAACCCAAACAAAGAGAAGATGGGCTGTCTTGTGTATTAGCCTCCACTGGAAGGTAAGCTTCATTAAAGACAAGTCATCTTGCTCATATTCTATCTCCAAATGCCAAACAATGTGTCTAATGAAAACATGTGAATGAACAATTACATGCTATAAAAAATAATACAACTTCTAGGTACAAAATCTTACCCTGCTCGGAAGAACCCACCTGATCTGTCTCTTGCACCCTCTTCTGGCATGTCCCACCTGTTTGCAAATTCCCTCCATAACTGGCCTATCCAAGTCTGAGCCATCCCAGCCCCATTCCGTCTCTTCAGATGGTTCCTCAAAGGTCACTTCCTTGCCCTTGAAACCACACAGGATCCCTGGGTAAGGCTCTGTGTCTCTCTAGAAACACTGCCCACTACCAGGATTCACTGTGTTGTTTAACAACAATAACTGCCTATCTTCTAGCCCAGTCTGTAAGCGTTGGGGTAACAGACCACCTGCAACCTTTTTCTCTACATCTCCAACCTTTGGGCCACACACAGATAAATCTAGGTAAAATGAAAATCTGCTCCTAAGGCTAGAGGAGAAGTCAAAATTCTCATAATAAACCTTCCTCCTTTTCTGCCACAACAAAGACATTTTGGAGGTAATCCTGAGAGATGAGGGACTACTTGTAAAATGCCCATTCGACCTGGGTTGGAAGGAGGGAATGAACAGGAACTGCCTTCACTTTCACCAGAAAGACCACAGGTGTCCAGACTCAACCCCTGCCATCTACCCCCTCCTGCCTCCACACGTGAGTGAGTCAGGGAGAGGACAGACAAAGCCACTCAACAGAATGAAAGGGAGCTTTGGCCCTTCAAGGCTCACTTCTGGGGTGTTAGCAGCTCATACCTAAGTCCACACAATTTTACTGAATGCCCAGTGAACCAGTCCAGAGCCAGACAAGTACTGGGGATACAGAAACAACCAAGGGACAGCTCTGAAGGGGCCACAGTTCAAAAACAAGCAACCAAGCAGAAATGGCCTTCTCTAGGAAGCCAGGCCCTACCTATCAGGGACCCCCCCCAACCCTGCACCAAAAACAAACAAATAAACCTAGAGCATCCCACCCAGCAATACAGATTGCCAAACACTTCTTTAAAAGAATTAACAGGGGCTAGGGAGATGACTCAGAAAGTGCCTGATACACAAGCATGAGGACTGGAGTTCAGTCCTCAGCACTCACACAGAAGCCACGTGTGGCAGCACATGTCTATAACCCCAGATTTGGGGAGACAAGGAAAGTTGGATCCCCAGAGCTCACTGGCCAACCAGTCTAGCTGAATCAATGAATTCCAGATTCAGCTGAGACCTTGTTTAAAGAAAAAAAAAAAGAAAGGTGGTGAACTATCGGGGACAATACTCAACACATATGAACGTGCACCTATGCCACACACACACAGAATTAGGTGATACTTTCAGTGTTGCCTTCTTTAGCATTAATTCTTCCTAGAGAGTCCTTCCCACTGTGCAGCTACTTAACATGATAAATACCTTCCAGGGACACACAAGGCCTCACCACTCTTCACCTGATGCTGCTATACTGGCCAATCTCTTCTACCACATGGACCAAACCGAGCAATAGAATCCAAAAGATCCTGATGGACATTCAGAACAATGCTGTCACATGTCTCCGGATTTTGTGTGAGCATGGAGCTCAAGTTAATTCCCGGGTGGACAACAGCAACAAGCATTCACCTCTCCACCTAGCCATAACATATGGAACCTATCCAGTTCTCTCCCTTCTGGCCCAAAATGGTGCCCAGGTCAATGCTATTAATGAATCTAGCATGACGCCCCTCCACATGGCTGCAAATGTCCTGAACAAGAACATGATAGAGATGCTCATTGCGTGTGGGGCCAATGTGAACTGTGCGATCTCACCTACTGGGAACACAGCCCTGAAACTGGCGGTGTGCACTGCATCGAGCAAAGCAGGCCGACTGCTGGCAGCGGGAGTGGGCTGCATCCATTTGCTGCTAACTCATGGAGCCCAGGTCAATGCCCAGGACCATGAAGGCCGAACGGCTCTGCATGAGGCATGTTTTGGAGGTAGAGAGGTAATAATCAATCTTCTGCTGGAATTTGAAGCAAATGTTAACATTTTAACAAGAAATGGGGAATCTCCAATTCACATGTACCTTCAGCGTAGTTCCAACATCAGAGATAAAACTCTCCTGGCCAGGCTATTGTATCGCACTTACCCTTTAAGACTGAGCAATAAGCAAGGGATTCTGCCTGCAGGAATCATGCTGCCAGAATTCCACCTCCTAAGGAAAACCCTAGTCAAGTTAGCTAGAAACCCTCTATCCTTAGAGGATATCTGTAAGAGAAACATCAGGAATATTTATGGTGAGAAGTACAAATTCGACCTGAAGCAACTTCTCCCAGGCAAGTTGTGGAATTCTGTATATGGCTTTTATGACTTAGCATACCTCTTGAAGTGAAAGTCCCCAGGTCCTCAATGCCAGAGAATCTCAGCAACTTAAACTGCAGTTTCTGGCAAGACATGTACCAGAAAATACCTAACCTTCACTTTTACACTGCAATGTACAAACTATTGGTTCTTAAACCTTGTTTCAAAGAATAAAGTGACTTGCACATTATAACTCTTACGGTCCTAAATTAACATGATTTAATTTTTGCCTAAAAAGTAGGCAAATTGCTTTAAAACATGCCAACCAAAGAATAAAACACAGTTTTTCCTTCCTTGATAGTCTTTTATGAATAAAAACTAAAATAGTCCTTGTGGGTTTTTGTGTTTGTTTTTTTGGTTTGGAACATATTTTAGCTTTTTGAGATAGTCTTACTATGTAGCCCAGGCTCACCTCAAACTTACCATCTTTCCAACTGCTGGAATTGTGTTCTTGTTTTTTTGTTTTTTTGTCTTGGTTTTGGTTTAAGGAACTTGGAGTTCTGGGGTTTTAAGTTTTGTTATTTTGAGACCTGACTCACTACATAGCCCAGCACAGCTTTAGGCTTGAAGTGCTCCTGCCTCTGCCTTTCCAGTGCTGGCATGCAAGATATGTGCCAGGGGGACTATGACTGTATTTTTAAATTCTTATATTATTTTTATGTGTATGTGTGTATTGCCTGCATGTGTGTAAGTGCCCTCATGTCATGCAGTGCCTGAGGAAGTCAGAAGAGGGTGTCAGATCCCCTGGAACTATAGTTACAGACAGTTGTTAGCTGCCGTGTGGGTGCTGAGAATTGAACCTGGGTCCTCTGGAAGAGCAGTCTGTGCTCTTAACCATCTCTTTGGCCCCCGTAACTTTTTTTTTTTTTTTTTTTTTTTTTTTTTTTTTTTTTTTGGTCTTTTTGAGACAGGGTCTCTAGCTCCAGCTGTCCTGGAACTCATTATGTAGACCAGGCTGGCCTTGAACTCACAAAAATCTGCCTGCCTCTGCCTCCCAAGTGCTGGGATCAAAGGCGTACATCACCACACCCGGCTGTAACTCTGTTTTTTAAAAGATCAAGAATAGAAATAATTTCTTGGAGGGCTGGAGAGATGGCTCAGCAGTTAAGAGCACTGGCTGCTCCTGCAGAAGAAATCAGGTTTGAATCTCAGCAGCCACATGGTAGCTAACAATAGTTCATTAACTCTAGTTCCAGGGGATTCGACTACCCTCTTCTGTCCTCCACAGGTACTGCACAACACGGGTACACTTACATATATGCAGGCATAATGCTCATACACATAAATAAAATCCAAATAAAATTTAAAAAATAAACTAAAATAAAATTTTCTAGAAGATTTTCTCTGTAAGGCTGCAGTACTATATGACCACTTTTGACAATATTAAGTATACGGACCACCACCAATTGTAGCAGTACTCAGCATACTTGCTGACAACAGTTATACTTCACAATTTTCAAATGTCCCCAAATTACTGCTTTTAAACTCAATCTAAGAGTTAACTTTTTGTAAGTGTGTGTGTGTGTGTGTACACATTTGTGTAGAGACAAGAGGTCAATGCCAAGTACCTTCCTGAATTCTCCACCTTGTTTTTTTTTGTTGACAGTCTCTCACTGAACAGAGGTCACTGACTCAGCTAGAATAGTTGGCCAGGGATCCCCCTATCTCCACTTCCCCAGCACTGGGGTTACAGGTGACATTGCTGAACCCAGCTTTTTACAAGGGTATTGCAGAGCTGAACATCAGTCCTCATGCTTACACAGCAAGCACTTTACTGACTGAGCCATCTCCCCAGTCTAGGGTGTCTTGTTCTGGACATTTGGGACAATGGTTGACATGAATGTAATGCTAACCTCCTAGGTAAACGAATGAATGCACAGTACTCCTTGTATTCTGTGAGCCCATAGCACATAATCTCCCACAAGAAATCACCACTATGTTCAAGGTTATAGTGTCTGGCTTACCTTCAGGTCTCTGTGGACAATGCCCATGTCATGTATATAAAATACACCTTCCACCAATTCTTGAAAAATTTTTGTTGCAACACTGGCCATAACATAAGGACCTGGAATTTTAAAAACAAATAGTTACATATCCTTATTTTTTAAACTCATTACATTAACATCTAAGTGTTAAAGGTGCACAATAAATTAGCATTGGACACTCATGTGCTATTCAAGTTTTAATAGTTAATGCTCCAGAATGGGCTAAAACTTGGAACTGAAGAAGGAAATGCTCTTCAGATGGTAAAGAAAAACCATCACAAACCGACACCTACTACTTCACAGGCTGTGCCTCCAAAGAGATACCTCTAATCTCACTCAGCAACTCTGTATTAAACTACTTTTTAAACAATTCTCAGGCATTAGGTAGCTAGATTACAGCTTTAGTTCCCCTTAACTCTTAACATACTGAGACCTAATGCTAATCTGGTATCCTACTCCGCACAGGATTAAAGACAGTATCCCAAATACTGGAATAAGAAAAAAAATTAGCTCAACATGGTGGCTTATACTTGGAATCCTAACACTTAGGAGGTTGTAACAGGAAGACTACCTTAAGTTCAAGCTCAGCCTGGCCTCATAGTAAGATCTTGTCTCCAAAACTAAAAATAAAATTGTTCAACCTTCCATCACCTGCAAGATTTACTAAAAATGACTGAAAATAAAGAATAGGGTTAAAAAAAAAAAGAGAAATGAATTAATTAATCTACTTATATCAATAAATTTACATAGTGGAGTGGTTTTTAGTATGTCTAATAGGTGTATCCAACCTGCAGCCCATGGACTGCATGCATCACAGGATAGTCCAACACATTTGCAGATAACATCATATTGCAATGTCAAAAGATTGGACACCCTGTACTAAAACAAAAACTGACTGGCCTGGAACTCAGGAAATCTTCCACCCAAGCCTCTCAAACACTAGAATGAATTACAGGTATGAGCCACCACACTGGCTATAAGAAGTTGGATAGCTAGGCTAAGCATGGTGGTTTATACCTATAATCTCAGCTCTAATTCCCACAGTTCCTTTGGCTGGTGATAGTTTATTATGCATTACGTTTTTGTGTTGACACTGACAGTTCTGAAAAGTAACTGACAGTTCTGAACAGGGGTTATGTTCAATGTTTTTCCCCTGATCAGATTGGGATTAAGGTTTGGGGTGAGAAAAAACACAGAGAAAAATTCCATGTGCTATCACATCAGGAAGGAAAACACTATTACCCCGATTTAACATTCTTGACAGTGACTCTAATGGCTGCCTAACTTGATGTAAAGTCATTCTTTTTGTTTTGATTTGATTTGTTTTTGAGACAATATAAGATAGCAAAGGATGACCTTGAGCTTCTGATCCTCTTGCTTCCACTGCCTAAGTATTAGGATTACAGGTATGTGCCATTGTGCCCAGTTTATGCAGTACTGGAGATTAAAACAAGAACCTTAAGCACACTAGGCAGGTAATTTACCAATTCAGTTATATCTTCAATCCCTTAAACTAATTTTTTAAAGTTCTCCCAGTTGATTGTAACATGCAGCCGAAGTTGAGAGCCATTGCTATATTTTTTAAATATTGGCCAACAGTATTTCAACATATAACTGCAGCATGTCGAGGGAACCTGAGGCATAAAATAAATTTTAAAAAGTATTATCATAGTTTCAGTTTGAAAAAGATTGGGACTGGAGAGATGGCTCAGGGTTAAGAGCACTGACTGCTCTTGCAGAGGACCTGAGTTTGATTCCCAGCACCCTCATGGTGGCTAACAACTGTCTGTAACTCCAGTTCCAGGGGATCCAACCCCTTCTTCTGACCTCCACAGGCATTGCACAACACAGGTGCACTTACACACATGCAGGCAATAAACTCATACACAGAAAACAAAAATTAAAAAGACAACAAAAAAGCTGGGCATGGTGGTACATGCCTTTAATCCCAGCATTTGGGAAGCAGAAACAGATGGACTTCTGTGAAATTGAGGCCAGCCTGGTCTACAAAGCGAGCTCTAGGCCAGCTGTGGCTACAGGGAGACCCTGTCTCAAAAAAATAAAAAGGCTAGAAAGATAGCTCAGCCAAATAAATATCTTCCACAAAAGCACAAAGACCTGAGTTCAGATCCTAAGCAGCCAAGTAAAAGCCAGTGCTAGAGGCAGGTAAAGCCTTAAGAGCTCACTAGTGAGCCAACCTAACCAAGCCAGTGAGCTCCAGATTCAGTGGGAGACTTTGTCTCAAAAATAAGGGAGAAAGCCAGGCATAGTCTTAGAACATCAACCTCTGGCCTATATACATGAACATGTATATACATACACACAAAAAAATTAATCCAAAATTATTACCATAAATTCTATCATATTGCTATTTAAATATCATCTTAGTTTCTTTTCCTGGTACTGTAATAAAATATCCTGACAAAAGCAGCTTAAGGAAGAAAGGGCTTATTTCAGCTTATAGGTCATGGGTATAGTCCTTCACGGAAGGGAAGTCAATACAGCAGGAGCCTGAGGCAGCTGGTCACATCGCACCCACAGTCAGGAAGCAGAGAACCATATATGTGCTCCTCACTTTCTCCTTTCCATACAGCCCAGGATCCCAACCCAGGAATGGGGCCACCTACAACACATGGATGGGTCTGTCCATCTCAGCCTAATCAATATTGTCCCCCACAGGCATGCCCAGAGGCTAACCTAATCTAGCTAATCCCTGATAGGTGTGTCAAAAAAAAAAAAAAAAAAACATAGATGATTCTAAATTCTGTCAAGTTGGCAACACTAAGCATAACCAATTCCAACAGTTTATCACAGAAAAATATGACTTGCAAATACATACTTGTTTTTTAAAAATATTGCAAAAAGCAGCATTTACATATGGTACTTACAGGCAGCTTCATCCACATACTCCTGGCTCCGATTGTTCCTCTCAGCTATCCAGTCCCACAGGGAGAGTTCACACAGCTGCATCTGGATGTGCAACATCAGGTGGTACCGGACCTAGAAGACATTCCAAGGTCCCATCTTCCTCTTCACTCGCATTTTTCATTATCAACAAATACTCACTGGCCTACTCTAGATCAAACACCATGGCTAACTGCTGCCTAAAGTCTCCATATCACAGTGTAGCCTGAGGCTGAAGATGTGGCTCAGTTGGTAGAGTCCTTGAGTAGCATGCGAGAAGCACTGGGTGTCACCCCTAGCACCATGTAAACCTTGCATGGAGGTGTATGTAGGCCTGTAATCCTAGCACTCAGGAAGAAGCAATAAAATCAGAAGTTCAAGGTCATTCATGTGTATATAGCAAATTCAAGGGCAGGCAGCCTGACATGAGACTCTGTCTCAAACAAAACACAAAGTGTGTCCTAACATAAGGAGGCAGGAGTCCAAAGGCAGAAGCTTTCAAATGTGGCACTGAGGAACTGTTTCTGAAGCTTATGTGGTCTGCTCACTATATAAACAACTGGTATTTGTCTTTTGGGTTTTTCTTCATGGTACTAGGGATGGAACCCAGGATCTCATATATGCTTGCTCTATCACTAAACATATTTTATCTCTTACATACAGAATTTCTAAGCTAGGGCAAAGCATAACAGAATGGCTGCATCGTACTCTACAACTCAGTATATTCTGAAGTACAGGTACTCTGGCTGGCCTCACACTGTTCCTAACAAACATCTTACTCAAGAAAAAAGTGAGACAGCATTAAGCTTACTGTAGCCCACCTAATTCAGGTAGCAAGGAAAAATTTCCAAATATAATACAGAGAAATGGAATGATTCTGATGAAAAATCATAATTCCTCTGGATTCAAATGAACCTGCTGTGAAGTTTTGGGGTGTGTGTGTGTGTGTGTGTGTGCGCGCGTAGACCAGAGGTCAGTCTCAGTTGCTCTCCCTCAGAAGCTATACACTTTTTCTGGAGATAGTTTCTCATCTGGATCTGGGTCTTGTCAACTAGATTAGGCTGGCTGGTCAGAGTCCAGGGATCCACTTATCTTCACCTCTCCAGTGCTGGGATTACCATGTGCACCACTGTGCCCAGCTTTTTACAAAAGTTCCAAGGATCAAACTCAGGTCATGATTATACACCAAGTATTTTGTCAACTGAGATTCTGCTCCAGCCCCTAATGCTCAACGTTTAGAATACTAATAATATTGGTGAGAGTCTGAGGAGCATACTGGCATAACTTAACACAGTAAGAGTCCTCTAACAACTGACTGGTAATCCTATAGGATTCACCAAAGTTACACTCCAAAAATAGAAAATCTTTTTGCAAAAGTATCTATTTATAGCATTAGGCTAACATGTAACAGAAATAGAGTATGAATGAGGCTTCCAGTTCCACAGCATACATCTGAGAATATCTAGAGGAACACTGACCCAGTGGGGAGGCAGGAAAAGCTGGCGCTAAGTGGAGTTGGAAGCAAATACAAGGGTCTTCCAGCAGGGCTGAGGATGGACTAGTAGAATACAATGCCCTGAGCTTGACCACCACACTGCATGAACTGGGTGGTATGGTGGTTCATGCTTATAATTCCATCACTTAGGAGGTAAAAGTAGAAGGATCAGAAATTCAAGGTCATCTTTGGCTACACAGCATGTTCCAGGCCAGCTGGGACTATATGAGACCCTGTCTGAAAACAAACACAAGCAAAAGAACTTACAAAGGCCATACAGTCAAAGAGACCCCACTGGGTCCAAGAAACTGAGCACAGAAGAGCAGTGAGGAAACAAGAGGGGCAGATATGGACTCAGCTGAGGAAGGGAAGCCACAGAGTCACAATGTGCTATCCTATCCAATGCGGCGAACATCCCATCAGCAGGTTCTGAGAAAGCACTCTACCTCTGTCTGCCCCAGCAGGTTCAAGTTGTCTTCAGAAGACTCCTCAGTGAATGAGAAATTCCCTTCTGGGTCCGAGTCATGCCCTGGCAGCAGGTGATGCTTGACAACTGATCTGGCAGACCTATCAGCCAAGCTATTTTCTTGGAGATCAAGGGACGATTCCAATTCACTGTTGTCCCTGATGACTAAATCAGTGGTGTAGCTCACCAAGTTGTTACTCTGATTTTTAACGTTGGATTCACTAAAGGCCTTTTCTTTCTCTGATGTGAGCTCAGCAAAGATAATGGACAAGCTGCTTTCATTATCTTTAATGCCATATTGATCTCTAGAATGAAAGAACAGTAAACACAGAAGTAAATGTAAGTAATAATCAACAGTCTATGAGCTGTTCCTTCAAGCCTGCACAAATCATAAACCGCTAAATAAATAGCTTCAATCAGGTCTTATGGTACATGCCTGTAATCCCAGCACTTAGGAGGATTGAGGCAGGAAGACCAGGAGTTCAAGGCCGTCTTCAGCTGTATATCAAGTTCTAGACAAGCCAAGGTTACATGAGACCATGTTTCAAATAAAAGTATCAAAAGAGATTTGTTAGCGAATCTGTGTAGCACTAGGTTTTGTTTAAAAACTGATGGCTAGAAATGGTGATGTACACCTGTGATCCTGAGATGTAGGAAGCTGAGGCAGGGTGACTGCAGGTTTGAAGCTAGCTAGCTTGGGCTACATAGCAAATTCAACATTAGCTTGAGCTGCATAGCAAGATCCTGTATTAAACAAATTCAACTACATACTGACAATATGAGAGGAGAAAGTAAATTAGTATTTTGTAACAAAAATACACAATAAAGGAAAAAAAAACCCAATTATAAAAAAGCAAAAATAGCCAGGTGTGGTGGCACACGCCTATAGTCCCCAGCACTTGGGAGGCAGAGGCAGGTGTATCTCTGTGAGTTCAGGGCCAGCCTGGTCTACATAGTGAGTTCCAGGCCAGCTGGGGCTACAGGAAAACCCTATTTAAAAAAAACAAAAAAAAAAAAAAAAAAAAAAAGAAAAGAAAAAAGAAGCCGGGTGTGGTGGCACATGCCTTTAATTCCAAGACTTGGGAGGCAGAGGTAGGCAGATCTTTGTGAGTTCAAAACCAGCCTGGTCTACACATTGAGTTCCAGGCCAGCTGGGGCTACAGGAAGACCCTGTCTCAAAAAGACCCCCCCAAAAAAACCCAAAATCCAAAAAAAGAACAAAGTAAAAAGAATAAAAACACTCCTGCCATATTCTCATAGAAAAGAAAAAAGCAAGTCACCACAGGTGAGAGAAAAAGACTAATGTGCAGAAGTAACAGCAGTCCACATACCTGTCCCCTTCCTGCTCTGACAGCATTTCAAGAGAGGGCAGCTGAATGGGAACTCTGTCTGCTGAATAGAAATAAACACAACATCTGTGAGCAGCCAGGTTTTCAACTTATACTCAAACTTCGAGCTAAAAAGATACAGATGGTACCAAACGAGATTGAAAGTCAAAAGAAGACAAGCTTATTTTTAAAAATATTTCATTATATTTATTTTATGTGTATGAGTGTATTGCCTACATTTATGCAAGTACACCCGTGTCATGCAGTGTTGATGGAGGTCAGAAGAGGGTGTCAGATCCCCTGAACTAGAGTTACTGTCGGTTATTAGCTGCCACGTGGGTTCGTGGGTGCTGGGAACTGAACCTGGGATCTTCTGCAAGAGAAGCCAGTGCTCTCAACTGCTGAGCAATATCTCTCCAGCCTCTGACAAGTTTTTTTTTTTTTTTTTAAACTGGTACACTGGCAGCTGAAGAGATGGCTCAGTGGTTAAGAGTGCTGGCTGTTCTTCCAGAGGATCCTGGGTTCAGTTCCTAGCACCCACATGCTGGCTAACTCTAGTTCTCATGTCTGCAATTCTAGTTCCAGGGGCTCTGACGCCCCCTTCTGTTTTGCACTCATGAGCATACTTACATACATGTAGGGATAACACTCATACACATAAAATAAAAATAAATCAAAAAAGAAAAAAGGAAAACAATAAAAATAAAAACTGGAACACTGTAGAAAACTATTCAACTCCACCAGGGCTGAGCAAAACTTCTAGAGATCTGATGGTAAATATTAACTTTGAGGCTCTTTAGGGACTCAACCTTAATTCTACTGTAGTGAAAAAGCAGCTCTAGGCAAAAAGTGAGCAAGCCTATGTTCTAATAAACTCCATTGAACTGAAACTTAAATTTTAAATGATTTTCATAAAACAGTCTTCTATTGATTCCTTGGGGGGCAACTTTTTAAAAAATATTTTATTATTTTTATGTGTATGGGTGTACTGACTGCATGTAGGTAAGTGCATCTGTGTCATGCAGTGCCCTCGGAGGACAGCAAAGGCTGTCGGATTCCCTGGGACTGGAGTTACAGACAGTCGTTAGCTGCCATGTGGGTGCTGGGATTCGAACCCAGGTCTTCTGCAAGAATAACCGGTGTTCTTAACCACTAAGCCATCACTCCAGCCCTGGTGGGGAGGGGGGTGGGGGGGTGGCGGTAACATTTTATGTGAATGTGTGCACAGGTTCATATGAGCACACGGAAGACAGGTCAACATCTGTTGTCTTCCTCTCTCAATGTCTAACTTATATTCTTTTGAGACAAGGTCTCTTGTTGGATCTGGAGCTCATCAATTTGGCTAGTTGGCTGGCCAGTGAGCTCCAGGGATCCCCAGTGCTGGGGATACAGATGTATACCACAGCATCTTTCTACATGGGTACTAGGGATCCAAATTCAGGGCCTCATGTTACAGGACAGTGATGTTACCACTTCTGCAGTCTCTTTCTCTTTCACAGACTTCATCCTACCTCTGCCTTCTGAGTGCTGGGATTAAAGGTGTATGCCAACACATCAGGCCCCTAGCCCCTCTTTTTAACTACTTAAAAATGTGAAAAACAGAGGCTGAGGATGTAGGTCAGTAGGAAAATGCTTGCCTAGCAAGCACAAGGCTCTGTGTTCAATCCTCAGCCCTGAAAAAAGTTGTTTTTTTTTTTTTAATAACTAAGTAAATAAAAACAAAACTATTCTCAGCTCACGGGCTACATAAAGGTAGGGCAGTTTAGGCTAAAGAGTAGTCATTTATTAAGCCTTTGACTGTACAGGTTGAGTGCATATGGTGTAAGAGGGAAAACAAAAGAACTTCATATTTGAGTTGGATTTTTTTCTTGTTTGTTTTCAGAGTCTACAATATTTATACAGAGTATTAGTTAGGCATCCTATCCAAAACTCCAAAAATTTAAAAAAAAAAAAATTTGAGTGCTTTCATGATCTCTAAAATTTCGGATTTGGGAGCCTTTTAGATTTCAGGTTTTAGAATAGGTAACCGCCCTTCTTTACAAGACCAGGAATGGTGGCTCCTGCTGTAATACTGGCACTCCAGAGGCAGAAACAAAAGGATCACAACACGTTTGAGAGTGACAAAGACAGTTCTAGGCCAACCAGGATTACAGAGCAAGACCCTGTTTCAGAAAACCTAGGGGCTGGAGATGGTTCAAGAGGCTCTGCAGAGAACCAGCATTCAGTTCCCAGCACCCACCTGTATCTCCAGCTCCAGAGAATTTAACAACATCTTCTGGACTCTGCTGACACTATAATCACATATGCACTTACACACAGACAGACACATAATTTAAAATAATCATTTTTTAAAAAGACCAAGTCAAAACTAAAAAAAAAAAAGACAACCTAAATAAAAAGCATCTTACCTTGTGGCCTGACCACATGAACATGCTCTATCCATGCAGTGTGATAGCCAACAATATTAGGATGCTGAAGACCTGCCAGAACTTTTACCTCTCGTAGCACCTGAAAAATCAAAGTAATTAGATTTGTTTTGTCAATAGCAATTTGTTACCCGATACTTACTTCTTGTTCTGGAGGCCTTTCTAACAAGGCAATCTGGGCTAAATTAAAATAATGGGAATAATCTGTGAAAGACAAATGGCCACTGTCATAACAACTTCACAACGTACACATGTGCAGCACTCACATTTTTTAAAACTTTTAAAAACTTTTATTATTTTTATATTTTTTATGTGTATGCGTGTATTGCCTGCATGTAGATAAGTGCACCCATGTCGTGCAATGCCCTTGGAGGAAAGAAGAGATTGTTGGATCCCCTGGAACTGGAGTTACTGACAGTTGTTAGCTGCCATGTAGGTGCTGGGATTCGAACCCGGGTCTTCTGCAAGAACAACCAGTGTTCTTAAGTGCTCATATTTTTTTGAAGAGCTATTTTTATTTTTATGTGTATGAGCATTTACCTGCATGTATGTATATATACTGCGTGCATGCAGTGCCCACTGAGACCAGAAGAGAGTATTGGATCCCCTGAACTGGAGTTAAAGACAGTTGTGAGCCACCATGTGGTTGCTGGGAACTGAACCTGGGTCCTCCGCAGGAGCAGCCTGAGCCATCTCTCCAGTCCCTACTTTATATTTTAATAGCTCATTATAACCACTCTCATTTGAGTCCTGTATCATTCCAAGGTAAGTGTCACTCTGTCCTATTTTTTTTTTTCTTTTTGAAAAATACTGCAGTGAATCAAAGTCAGGGCTTTGAGTATGTCAGACACTCTTCCACTGAGCTACATTCCCAGCCTCTGTGGTGGAATGTTCTTTTGTTTGTTTTTGGTTGTATGTTTGTTTTGCAATTGGGGCTCATAATGCAGCCCACTCTGGCCTCAATTTATTATCAGGACTCCAGCCTCGGTATCCTGAGTGCTAAGATCACACTTTGTGACATACTCAAGTTAGTCATTCTTTTTTTTTGGTCTTTCTGAGACAGGGTCTTCCTGTAGCCCCAGCTGGCCTGGAACTTGCTATGCAGACCAGGTTAATCTGGAACTCAGAGATCCACCTGTCTCTGTCTCCCAAGTGCTGGGATTAAAGGCATGGGCTACCATGCCAGGCTCAGTTTGTCATTCTTATTTATCATTCTTATTCTTGAACAGTCAGAGACACAGTGACTCAAAGGAAAGGAAATCTGTCCAAGGCCACAGAGCATGTCAAGAAGATAGGGACTTGAACTGGGCACATGATTTTATGTAACAAGCTGGGGGGTGTCGAATCAATTATTTAAAAAATTAATTTCTCACTGGTAAGACAGCAGGCACTTACCACCATGCCTGATGACCTGAGTTGAATCCTAGGGATCCACATGGTGGAAGGAGGGAACTGACTCCTGTGACCATAAAAGGGCCATGGCATACATGTGCCAACATACACTATACACATACTAAATAAATAAATGTAATACAAAATTAATTTCTCCACTGATCCTGAAATGTGGTTCATAATGAAATACTTGTAAAAAATTACATAAAGGCTGGTGAGATGGCTCAGTAGGTAAAAGCACTTTGATGCCAAGTCTAATGACCTGAGTTCAATCCCTGACCCACACGGTGGAAGGAGAGAATCAACTCCCGAAAGGTGTCTTCTAACCTCTACAGGCACACTATGTGCATGCACATGTACATGTCTGCACATGCACACATCCATACAAAATAAAAGGTAGTTATATCAATAGCTAGGTGTGGTGGCACACACCTTTAATCTCTACACTTAGAAAGCAGAGGTGGGCAGATCTCTGTGAGTTCAAGGCCAGCCTGGTCTACGAACTGAAATCCTGTCTCAAAAATTAAATAAAAAATACAAGTTAAAAAATTAATCAAATAAAAATTTAGTTTTCATTTTTACTGTATTTTACTGATGATCTAAGTTTTAGTAAACTGGCAATCAATATCATCTACTACTTGGCAAATATATACACACATAAATAAATAGACATACAATTTTTTCAAAATAAGCTACACAATTAGTATCTCCTTCCCCCTCTCCCCCACCTCTCCCTCTGTACTAGAGTTGAACTCAGAGCCTCTCACATGCTAGGCAAATAGCCTCTAGCTCTAAGTTACATCCCCAGTCCTCCTTTTATTTTTTATTTTGAGAAAAGGTTTCACTAAGTTGCTTAGGCTAGGCTAGTCTTGAATTCACATTGAAGCCCTGGCAGGCCTTGAACTTTCAATTCCCCAGCTTTATACTCTCAGTAAGTGGGATTGTATACCTGACCCATCAGTCCCATACTCCCCCCACACCCAACTTTTTTATAACAATGAGGTCTCATTATGTAGATGAGGCTAGTCTCAAGTGATCTTCTTGCCTGTCTTCCCAATAGGTGAGGCTATTGGTACATGCACCAAGTCCAGCTCAAATCAAATAAATATGTTTTGGAGGGAGGAATTTTTTAAGATAGGATCTTATGTAACCCAATCTGGCCTGCAACTTGCTCTATACCAGAGGCAGGCCTTGAACTGTTCTCCCTGCCTACACTTACCAAGTGCAGGTTTATAGGTGAATACCAACATGCCTGACTCCAGCTAAAACGCTTTTTTTTAAAAATCACATTTTGAAGAATGGGGAGGTAGCTCAGTCAATAAGGTGCTTGCCTTGCAAGCATGAAAACATGAATTCTATCCCCAGAACCCACTTAAGTCAGGGATGGTTGTGTACACTTGTAATCTCAGCACTGGGGAGGTAGAGAACAGAGGATCCCAGGGGCTTGGTAGCCAGCCAGCCTAGCCTAGTTGGTGAGCTCTGGGACAGTAAGAGAACCTTTCTCTAAAAACAAGGTAAATGGCATCTGAAGAACACAGGTTGTCTGCTGGCCTCCACATACATACATGCACTGACATATGCACCGTCACACACATAAACATGTACGCACGGTGAGCATGCATACACACACACACTCTCGGACACATCATACCTTCATGCAGTCTCTTTTAGTTGCACCTTTAATCAGGATTTTCTTAATTGCATAATGTTGACCATCTAATTTGTTCCGGACCTAAAAAGCAGAAGTAAAGACAAAGCATTAAATTTCATCGAATACAACTGAATACAGGAGTTCTTCTCGTGTGAGCTTAAATAACCCAAATTACTCAGAGATCAAAAGAAGCTAAAGCCATTTTTCCTGCATTCCAAGAAGTTAACCCTAGTCTTCTGCACCAGCAGTTTTGCAAACAGAACTGTGTCCAGCTCCCAGTGGTTTCCAGTCTGAAGAACAGGAATGCCAGCAAAACTGTTTGCCCCCAACACAGGAATACATCATTTTTAGTAACACGATATTTACTTTAATCTTTTTGAAACAGGTTCTCATGTAACCCAGGCTGGCCTCAAACTATTCAGCTGAGGATGACCCTGAACTTGTGATCCTCCTGCCTCCAGTTCCCAAGAACTGGGATTACAGGCATACAGTACCATACCTGGTTTATGTGCTGCTGCTGCTGCTGCTGCTGAAATCCAAGATTTCAGGTATACTAGGCACTCGCAGTTAACTACTCAGCTCTATCTTTAGCAACACAACTTTTTTACAACACATTAAAAAAAATTTCAACTTATAATTTTAGTAACAGAATTCTCATCATTTTGCTTTAAATCTTTAAACTACAGATTGAAAATACTAAGTTTAAAATCTTTTCAATTATGTTTTATTAAATTTATTCTTTGATATTTTCATACATATAAAAATGCTTTTTGTGGGGGCGGAGGGATTTGAGAAAAGATCTCCCTATAGCCCCAGCTGGCCTGGAATTCTCTATGTAGACCAGGCTGGCCTCTATCTCATAGAGATCCGCCAGACTCTGCTTTCTGATGCTGGGATTAAAGGTGTGAGCCACCATGCCTGGCTTGTAACACATTTTTGTTGTCATTTTTTAATATTTTTATTGATTTTTGTGTATTTCATACAGAACATCTTAATCATCTTTATACCACCTTCCCCACTGACCCCTTCCCACAGTCCCCCCACAGTGTAATTCATACATTTTGTCATTTGTGTTAAGGCCTATCATGTTAAGACATTTTTAATGAGTAAACTACTGAATAAAAATGCAAAACTTCCAGAATCTACATAAACAACCAACATGGTTGGGGAAAAAAAAGAAAAGTTGTCCACGTCCTTGAAAATGACAAATAATAATGAAAAGCAAATTCTTATGATATTTAGGATTTCTCTGAGCACTTCACATCATAATCATGAAAATAACTTCTCAACATACACATACTGCCAGCATAATAGTTTGTTAAAATGAGTAAATGGAAAAAACCTTGTATACGCTCCCATATCCTCCTTTTCCCAAGATCGCCAGCTCTTCAAACTCATTTAAGTAGCGTGATGTCTGTGCTTCGAAGCCTGTCTCCCTAGATCTGAGAGGTAAATACAAACAGTTCACCAATATTAAGACATGTGACAAATATGTGCACTGTATCACCAAACTGCTGAAACTCACTTATCACTAAGTTGCAATAATTTGGAATGAGCTGACTAAAAGGAAATTTCCCGTTTCCTATGGGAAAAAAATTGGCCAGGTAAATCAAGATAGTAATAAAAATAGCAAGAGGAGTCATTAAACTAATTTTAGTAATCAGGTGAACTCAGAAAAAAAATGCACTGTAAGTTTTTTTTTTTTTTTGAAAGGCAGGGTCTCATGTAGCCAAGGCTACCTTTGAACCCCAGGTCGTCCTGCCTCTACCTCTGAAGTGCTGAGGTTACAGTTATGCACCTCCACACCTAGCT